TTTTTTTTTTTTTTTTTTTTTTTGAAAAAATAGAAATAAATATAAATTCAAATTTAAAAAGCCATAGTATTCTACATTTTATTTTATTTTAATCTATATTTTTTAAATATCTGAATTAAATCTTCATACTTTTAATTATTTGTAAAAACTAATTTCTAATATTAGATTGTCATGAGTTATTTTTGGAAAAGTAAACAAAAAAAAAAAGTTGGGTGTTTGTCCCATGGATTTGGTATTTAACCCACAGATATGTTATTCGTGTATGGAACCACTTTCGCAAATTTGTTAATTTTAAATAATTCATTCATTTATAAGAATACAACATATTGCATACCATCGTAATTGTGAGATCGCATATCGATTGAGGATGAGAACGAAATATTTTTTATAAAGATGTAGAAACCTCTCTTTAGCTGAGTTTTAAAAACCTCACGAGAAAGTTCGAAAGGAAAACTAAAAAAAGACAATATCTACTGGCGATAGCTGAATCTAGACACTAATATCATAAATATTGACAACAGGAAACTACACTAACAGCTCATGAGCAACAATCTCTTACAGCTGAAGCAACTACTTCATTCATCAATCAATCATATCAAATCATGATCATTCATATACACCAAAAACCAAAATTAAGATAACCCAATACGTCGTGTACCTAATGATAATGAACTATGTCCCTGTCGTCCACAAACTTAAACGTAGAAGCTGCACCAAACTTCTTTACCACCTCATGTTCTTCTTCTGCAAATTTATCGTCCCTGTTGATATAATAATCTCTGTTGCCATAATTGTGAGTTGAAGAAGGGTCGTGCACGCTTTTAGCTCGACACGGTAGGTTGGCGAGCATGTTGACTCGACCAGAATGACTAATTTCTATCACCACTTTGTCATCTTCCACAGAAAGGGGTTGCTTCCATGGCTCCCCATCAATTCTCATGTACGTGTGGTTAATTGCACCTTTATGAAACTCGAAGTGAACCCTTCTTGCCTGCATCAATATTCGGAATGGGGCAACCAAGAGTAGTGTTAGTTTCATTAGCACAGCATCAAAGGGAGGTGATTTACTACAATCGTGTCAGTTCGTTAAGAGTGTTTTAGAATCTGATCCAATTCTGGTTTTTGCTTGAAGTTACCTGACCAAGACGAGTTCCATGTCCATTTGGCGCAAGCAGGACGAGCCCATGCCAAGCGTTTCTAAAACCAACGATCTCAATAAGCCCATCATCCACATATGGAGGAGTTAGATCTCTCTGTAAGACATAACATTATGTAATATGTTAATTACAACCAGAATGATCTAAACAACAGCTCGCGGTTTAAGAGTGGAAAACAAGCTTGGAACTAACATCATGTAATTTATTTTTGCTTGGATCTCCCCAAGGATCAAGTCCACCAGAAAAACTTGGCAAATTGAGACAAATTATAGATCTGATACTGCATTTGAGATTGGAAAGAAAGTGTCAAAGCCTATTATCCATTTTTAAGGAGATCATTCATTTGCACCTCAGCTATGTGCAGAAAGTAAAGATTTCATATGACGCAATGTTAGGCAGCAAAATGAACAACCAACCCATTGAAAAAAGGTTATTTTGAATCACCTTGAGGGAATCACGAGGTCCTCCCAGATACCTTCCCTCCTCATGATCTTCACCGCTGCAAGATTTGCTATGTTCCTGCATTACATCAACTCATTCTAAATCACAGAATGTTGACATTGACAAGAACTAGCAACTAAGTTGCTAGTTCAAACTAAGGCAGATAACACGACCTAAGGTCCAGACGTAAAGGTACAACTATCGTTTTTTTCTTTTTAAATAATTACGAATGTTGCTTGGGTTAGTTCATGCGCACCAACTCTGGGATAAACACTGAATTAAATATAAACAATGATCTAGACAGGTGACCACTGCTTAAATAATCATATAAAGATAAACCAAAGACATACCTGGAAGGAGGATGACATAAAGGAGAAACAAACCATCCTTGTTTACAAGCAATCTTCAAATATGCTTTCTGCCTCAACCAAAAGAGACATTGATTGTTTAGTATAATTATAACAAAAGTATTGGTAAAGACGCAAAAGTAAAACAATTGAAGCACATATTAACCTAGAAAAACTATAGAAAAGCAAAACATACAGGTACCCATCATTTAATGTAGAGTGGATATAATCGTGAGACATAACATGCCAAATGTCTAGCGAACTAAATTATAGATAATTTAAATATAATATATTTCATCTCCGACAATGTTCTAGTACTACAGATATCAGGAAAAGTCTTGGATTGTCGGCAGTTGACAACTGCAAGGCTCCCTCCCCATTAATAAGGATCAAATTTACTTGGCACGTGAGAAAGATTTAACAAAGGAGAATTATTGGTCATTTTTTGTGCAAATCCTAACGGTAAATTTAAGGTGTTTCAGACTTGAAAGGAAAAATAAATCATTACCTGATTAGTTAATTGATTCTTAAAATTTTCTGGATTCAACTTTCTCTCGGAGTGAAAAGCATATGATACCTGAGCATCCATTCCTGTATAGACCATTCATCAAATTTCTGAGGAACTCAATTGGAATGTTTTTAAGTTTACCTGTACCAGGCAGAAATTAAAATAGAGCTTCATCATTGTACATGGATTATGCTACCATTGTCTATTATAAAAAAAATAGTTAAACTATCATACAACGCCAAAAGGCATAGTCCAATTGTACTCCATATCAAGGTCAAGATTCCTTATGTTGTTTAAAAAAAGGATAATTCTAGTAATCCGACCCCATATCATTACTAAACACAGTATATCGCGGTTATGATAATGTAGGAGGGTTGTGCTACAGGGCTATTCTTGATTTGAGCTTAATCAAATAAAGGTAAAGAGCTAGTCACTTTTGCTTCTTTGATCGCTCAGTAGCTGATTAAAAGTCGAAATTATCTGTGGAGGCATGTAAAAACATCATGGCTGCAGAATTTGAATGACAAATCTGTCGTTAGAATCAGAAAAGTATACATGAGGAATAATTGATAGGGTTGGAGGCTTGCATTTCTAAACCCATAGCTCAATCAAATGAAGCCACATGATTCAAATCACCCACGCTATTTAACCTTTTTAACAATATACTTTTAATGTCATTACATAATGATTCAGTGAAGTGATAGAATGTGATGAAGCAAAAAAAATTCTTACCAATACTGAAGTAATTCCAAAATCCACCACGAAATAGATGCCAACCGTCCTGAAAATGGCCAAAACAAGGTGAAAAACATAGACCACAATGCCATACAAAGAAAAAAAAAAAAAATCACACCAGTAAAAAGCTAGCAAACTCAAGCCCGACCCCTAATGAGTAATTGAAAGTCTCTAGTGTTAGTGAATAATAAAAGAACAAATAAATGAAATTCTTGCAGCAATACAGAAATCCAAATCTAGGCTTGTTTTATGTCCTAGCTAATTAGGATACTATTCTAAAACTCAACTCCAATTGGAGTAAGAAGTACTTAATGTTGCTTTTAGAAAAATATACTTGATGCTTTGAAATCCTAATTCTAAACTTCGCTATAAACCTTGATTCAAACCAATTAGTTGAATTTAATGTATTTCTAATATGACGGAAAACAATTGTTAAAACCTGTTGATGCCCTCTTGTGGTGTATAGGTAAAGCTTACTATTTTCTTTTCTATTTTATTACTATTTCTTTCCAATCAATCCATGAATTTAATTTCATAATTCAACAGGACCAATCAGAGTGTTCTTTATCCCTCTGGTGGTGTCCATATTTTAGGTACACCTTCATTTTTCTCATGACATTTTTAGTTTCCTACCGATGGATTATGAGCATTAGTGCTGGAGTTAGAACAGTTCAACATGCTAAACATATAAGCAGTGGAAAGAATCAAAAGGAATTTTTTTA